CACACACACACACACACACACACACACACACACACACACACACACACACATCACATAATTAACTGGTTCAGCCTGCAGCACCACTCACAGCAGCTAAATTCCTCCTGTGTTTGGACGCGGAGTTGCTCAGTCTGGCTTTAAAATATTGCTTTTTTTCTTCCCATCACTTTCCTCTGTACTTTTCCCTTACCACTTACATTTCAACTTTTTTTTTCGGGTGTCAGTGAATGGCATTTTTTATTGTGAACATTTCTATAGGCCACACATAAAGTTTTATCAAATTTAAATATTTCTTTATTAACTTTTTGTGAGACCACCCAAGAGGTCACGAAGAGGGTACATATTTTTTGCATCTGGAGTCAAAGTTATCTGTGGGCTGAACCAGTTAATATAATGTCATAAAAATCAAAGTGTGTCTAGTGCTCTGATATTGGATCATTAGACACTTATTCATGGAAATTTCCTCTTTTTTGTTTGTACAGTGAAGTATTATATAATTCAGTAGACATTTGGCTTAGTTGTTATTATTTGGTAAAGCCATAATCATAAAGCCATGTAAAAGAAGAAGATTCTATAATGGTACCATTACGTCTTTCAGTTCAGAATGGACAACCACAGGAGTATTTCTACTGCCAAGGAACAAGAAACGAAACTATTTTCTACAACAAGACTTGCAACTTTATCCCTGACTGTGTTACTACTAAGGAAGATGAGAAAAATTGTGGTATGTAGCTTTTTCAGCAGTACGCTGTCCCATTCTTATGCTTTTTATGAGTTTTTTCTTTGTGTCATGGCTCGGTGGAATCAGATGCTTGTTAATTTTTGGGCATATGGAGTTATTGTTATAATCCTAAAGCCTGTTTCTAATTTGCCTTGCTTTTGATTTTAAAAAAAATTAGCGATCTATCTTGAAAAGAAGTCAAGATGTTTGCAATTGAAAGAGCTGAAGGCTTCACAGTGTCTGAGGTAAAATTAATGAGAAAATGGATGCAAAAGTTTGGCAGTTTCCAAAGTTTGAGTGTCCTTGGAAACTGGAAAATTTACTTTTTTGTGCCTTTGATCAAATAAAAAAAACAACTAAAATCCACCCTGAAATGTGTTTTTAAATGGATATAAAAGGTGTTGAGCCAAAAAAGAACTAAAAGAATGGATTAAAATTGCCCAATGGGTGAGAAAAAGCTAGCTGGGGGCAAAAGTGTAGATAACCAGTATTCCCTTGTAAAAATTTAATTGGAAACGACAAAAAAATTCTGAATTTTGGTGTCTTTTTAAAAGGACCCAAATCTGTATCTACTCACTGTAACATGACTATTTTCCCCATTGTGAACCTATCAGGTTTTGTATTTTTTTAAAATGTCTTTTTTGCTAGATTTGACGAAATTGTCATTTTATTTCTGTTTCTATGCTTTGTTTCCAGGAAACTGCACGTTTGAGAATGATGACCTTTGCGGAACATGGATTGACATTAGTTCTGGAGATTTACAGTGGGAATCTGCAACCAGTACCTTAGGCGCAGGTTGGTTTTTTTTCATGTTTGTTTTTGTTTGTTTAATTTTTAACTCTTTATCTCCGACAAGCCGCTCATAGTGGCTCGTGGTCGGAACCACTGTGCAGGTGAGCAGCTGGCAGCGGCTGGGGCACATTCTTTTACGATGACTTTTACAATCAAATTACTTTTCGGCTTGGATGCTTAATAACAATAAGCAGTCCCTACATGGAAATTGAACTCAAGCATTTTACTAGTTAGGATAAGCTGAAGAACCTCATTACACCTGGTAAGTTTGGTGGTCTTCAAATTTCTCAAGTTGTTGTACACAGAGAGAGTAGAAGATGTGTGTATAAAATGTTCCCTATAAAGGTCTAGCAGAGTGTAAAATTTATATGAAAATAAAAGTCATTTTTATATAGACTATGCAATGTGTATAGGCCTGAATCTTATTGCCTTATCAGAGAAGTTGTACTACTGAGAGGAGTTGTCAGCATTCATAGAATTTAATGAAAATTTGGATGAAATACACTGAGCTTTGGAAAGGACATTAATTTATCTGTCAAAGAATTAGAAATGGAAGCTCAAGGGTTTAACTTTGGAGATCAGTTTCCACACTGAAAGCAATTTATAATTAAGGTTTGTGCCTTAGCTGAGAAAAATATGACTTCACAATACGGATGTTGAACTCCCATTAATATAGGACCCCGTGAATTATGAGGTTTGAACTGTGACCTTAACCCCGTTGTGACACAAGGTCAGTTCGTGCTTTACCGGGAACAGTTTTAGATCCCCAGGGATGAATAATAGTGCTCGATATCCCCAGGGATAAAAAATAGCCCCAGATTGCGCTGGTTGTTGTCTATTATTAGACCCAGTTTGTAAATGTGGATAACTAGTTTTAAAAGGAAAAGATTTCTTTGAACGGAAAAAATATCGCTGAATGGAATCTGCAATTAATTGTATGAAGTGCACCTGATAGAAGCAGTATAGCGAATACAAACTATGACAAATAATGTTCATCATCATGGTCCTCATTCTTCGCATGGCATGACGAACGCTGTACGACACAGCAGCAACTTGCTTCCTTTGCGTTAAATAAGCGCTGTTGATTTTACGCTTGTGGGTGGTTGATGGGTGCTCTGGTGTGGTTTGCTCCTTCTTTCCTATCAAACATCTATCGTCATTATCTCTCCTCCTTTTATTTTGTGTATGTTACTCTCTTGTAACACATAATCTATTCTTCGGCACTTATATGACCTTATTGTGTTGCAAGTGCCTTAAAACTCTTACTAAAACTTTTTAAAATTTAAGTTTCTTGAAAAAGGAAACCAAAGACTGCATGTGTACATGACATGAAACATTTATTAATCCACACTTTGATGCCCTTCAGGTCATTATTTGTCTGTGAAAGCAGACTATGACACCCATAGCAATGAGGCAGTACTCATTTCTTCCTTCGCTTTTGGACCCAGCCCTGTTACTTGCCAAATCCAGTTCTCCTATCTTATGAGTGGAGCAGGTAAGTTTTTCCCTATTTTCATTAGTATACTTACGACCTTAGAGCAGGCATCAAAATAACATTGAGTGTGCATCTACCTTACGGTTATTATTGTTTATGTTGCTGCTTATTTATATTATGCATGTGTGTGCGCGTGCACGCGCGCGCGCACGTGTGTGTGTGTGTGTACATGTGGTGAAACACCAGACTAATGTGCCAGGATCTGGACAATAAAGATGTATCTTATCTTATCTTTAAGGCTTTGTTGACGTTGCAAACCGATTAAATCTGAGAGTTCCGTCTCTCTTTTTTTATATACCTTTGTTTCCTTTATCAAATCTTACATAAGATATGTTCCCATGTAGCTTAAGTAAACACTTCACGTCCCTTACACATACGTACAAAATCTGGTGTCCAAGCATTTATATTTTTCCTTTTTTTTTACCTTTTTGTGGAAAATTAACTTGCATGGACTTGGTAGGTTTGCACTCGGCACTATCGATATGGTGTTAAATAGTCAGCATACTTCTATGTTTGAAATAGTGTTGAGGAAGTATAGATCAATTTGAAGTGATTAATCTAAGTATAGCCATTTTATCTATGGCCAATTAAAAAGCTTGTCACGTTTACACAGAGCAGCTTTACAATCTTTTTTTAGATTGAGAGAATCCATGTTTGTTATTACCCAAATACTTGTGGAAGAACTATCATATACAGTTGCAGGCAAATTCTTTGCCTTTGCACTTGGCCTGACTTACAAACCATGTCTTCTGCAATTTAAGTTCTCTATTTATATGCTAGGTGAGTGAAGAGTTTACTGTTTCCATGGTCTGTTCATGTTTTTCAGGCATTGGCTATTTGAAATTGGTTATCAGAGAAGGACAAGAGGACACTGTACTCTCACAGATGTTTTCCAGCTCAGGGACCCATTGGCAGACTTCTATAGTGGACCTTGGGCGCATTGCAGTGCCCTTCCATGTAATTGCTTCTTTCACCTTTTTTATATTCATAATTGTTATATGTAAGGCATTGTGGTGAAATCAGGCGCTCGTCAAAATGATGAAATCGAAGAAATCAACATTTTTTTCCCTCGTTTTGCAATTTTTTTTAGCATAATTTTTGCTTTGGGTTCAACACATATTATCTCTATTTAAAAACACATTCCTGCTTGCATTTTATTGAAAAATGTTGATTTCAGGCACAGAAAATGTAAATAAACAGTTTCCAAGAACACTATACCATTGGGGTCACCAAATTTTGGCGGTTATATATTTTCTCACTATTTATGACTGTGACACCAGGTGACCGCCACCTCCTTCAACAGTGGATATTTTGACTTCTATTCAAGGTGGATGGGTAATTTTTTTTGGTCAATGGCAAGGTAAATTAACAAGCTTTGATATGATACCTGTAACTCCATTTGCCCCAAAATTGACGAGCACCTGATTCTGCTGTGTAATGACACATGTAGGCTTTATTGATCACCAACACAACTTTGTTGTGAAGATAAAAAATACAGGAGAGCTATAAAAGTCTGTGAATGTTTTGTCTGATGCTGAATGAATAGGAGAGTGAGAAAGATAAACCAATGGACTGATACACGCTCAGAAAGAGAATAAGAGCACTGAAAGATGGGTGAAAGGTTTTAGATTAAAAATTTAAATAGCATATAAGGAAAGAGGCTTAAGAATTAAGACACCGAAAATAACCAGTTGTATGTTTTTTGTTGACTCTTGCTTATTTTATGCAATATCATCTATAGTCTTTGAATAGCCATTTGCACAATTTTGTGATTAATGTTTTAAAATGTAACAAGGAACTTGGAATGTAAAAAGCTTTCCATGAAAATAGTTACAAGAGAATTTGCAAAGTTAGCTTTCATAGTCATCCTAAAGTTCCAAACTTTATAGTTTTGAAGTAGTTTTGAAGTACGGCTGTGGCTTATGCAAGAGGCCATTCAAATTCTTTTGAGAGGAATTCATGAAATTCTTTAGCAAGACTTGAACCTTTTTCAAAAGAGACAGAGAAGATCTTCCATCTTTTTTGGGCTACAGGTCTTATTTGAAGCGTCAAAGAGCAGCAGTGTGGCAGGAACTCTCGGCATTGACAACATCTCGTTCATCAACTGTGAATATCCTCGTAAGTCTGAGAGAGCTACTGCGTTACTAAGAGCCTTGCTTTATGCTTTGTGAGACTGCAAAAACATTTGTTTTTGTTCTGTTTCTTTGTGCTTTTCTTTCTTTTATTTGAGTTTGAACTTAAAATTAAATTATTGTACAATTTGCTTAACCTGCCTCCTTTTTGTAATAAAATGAGGTTGAGCTTCTGGGAATCTCTCTATATTATGCTGCTTTCAGGTGACCACAATATTAATTTTTGTTTTAGATATTTTTGATACAGTATCCATTTTCGACATAATATAGGCTAGAGAACTGTTTTCAGAAAACCAATGATCGAAACAGTGGCTTTTTGAAACTCTTCATCTGTATGAGGAAAGGAATGAACAGAAGCAGATGCCCATGTGAACATATTCTTCTGTTACTCATGTCTGTGATCTAGAGGATTTCCCTTGCTTACTATAGTTATCAGTTGTTTGGAATTCAGTTTGATATGAATGAGCAAAGTATGAATTAAGTGATGATTAGAATATATAAACTTGTAAAAGTTTTATTGCTGCTTGATGACGTTTTGTCTTTGTCTTTTTTTATAGAGTTTTTCTTGTTACTTGATAGAGTTGTCTTTTTCTGTGCTCACATGAGTACATGAGTACATTTGTCATTTATGATGAGTTTAACTTTTTTCTCCGGTTCTGTTGTTCACTTGTTTTTCATTAGCATTTTGTTTTCAAAGTCTTGGCAAATAACATTTAAAGCTGTTTAGCTATTACAGTGCTTTCCTCTCAAGTTTCTTAAGCCTTAATTAGCTTCTTTGTCTTTGTTCACTCTACATCTGAAATTATGAGTGACCAAAGATAGTGAATAACAAGATGGGCCACTCAGCCAAAAAAGTGTCCGCAGGAAGTATGCTCTTTGCTTCAGATGGCGCTGCAGTCTGTTTTGAAGCTCTCTTTCGTTTTTCCAGAAGAAGAATAGGAATAGCACCTCCTTGCGTGCGCAGATCGACTGCTGTTCATCAGCAGTTCGGGTTCGTTCAGTACGGAGTTTTAGTTTTTTAAAATTTTAATGACCTCTCGCCTTTCATTCTAAAGTCAAATTAAACAAAGAAAACAATCACCCTTTCCTCCGGAAGAGGTTTTTTGTCAGCGTAACCATTTTAACAAAAGCGTTCTTCCAAAATTCATTCAAAAACTTGCTAGTTTCACTTTGATTTTTTAAACTCAAGTAGGATAACTCTATTTGCTAAAGGTGCGCTTTTGCGAAGAGGGCGCCACCGAATTTTGAGGACACTTTTTTAATTGGCTCAAAGAGAGAAGTGCCCCCTCTTGTTATGTACTCTTTGGAGTGACACGATGAAATGATGAATGCGTACAGTCAAAATTATCTGAGATGGCCACCTATTCTAAAGGAGAAAAATATTTGTCTTAGATGAGAGGATGTTTTGGATGGTCATTATAATAATGTACAAAAAACAAACAACAAAACAAACAAAAAACGGAAAGGGGGGGGGAGTACAGAGGACTGTTTTGGATAGATCGCTGTTGGAGCAGGTTCGACAAGTCATGTGTGAAAATGTCGTGGTCTTTTTTGCCTATTTTCCCAAAGCCAAAAGGACGACCTGCCAGCCAGATGAGATGCAGTGTAAGAGAGGATCTTGTGTGAAGACATCAGCTGTCTGTGACTTCTCTGATGACTGTGGGGATGGGACAGATGAAGCTTCATGTGGTAAGAATGAAATAAATGCTGAACTGATTATATTTTTGGGGGGGGGGCTGTTGTTGTTTTTTGTTTTTTTTTAAATGTTGGTGTTTTTACGCCTCCTTCAATTAAATTGTTTGTAAATGTTGAAAAAATTCTTCGTAGTTAAAAGAGTGACACCTTTTCCAAAACGTTAAGTCTCTCTGCTTTATCTTCCTGACTTTGAGTAAAATAAAAGTGTAACAAGATATTGTATTATGCCTCCTGAGTGCTAAAATTTAACCATTTTTCTGGATGATAGCCATTGCATGTTTTGGAAGATTCCATTCATCATATTTTTGTCTGTTATGGTGTCTCTTTTTATAATGAGTGAACCTCTCCACATTGATGTTTGTATACACTATGAGGTATTTTCTCAAAGTTTTTCATTTCTGATTCCTGTAGAGTCTTTGGCTTATTTGATATCTCAAATTACATAATTTTGTGAGCCATTTAGCTTTCTTTGGGAGATGAAATTATCTCAGCTGGTTTTGGGCTGGACTTTTGTGCAGACGACTGGATCGCAGACTGTTTGATTTGGAAGTCCTACCTCTTTAATAACCTTACAGTGTTCAAAGTATAATAAATCCATATCATAGTATTTTATAACCAGAAAGTGACCCTGCATTCAAGCAAAAACTGATGCTTAATGCTCAGTTATGGCTCACTTTGGATCTGAATCATCTCTCATAAATAATATATTTTGTGGGCCAGGTGCATACCCACTACGCTCAAACTTTGAGTACAGCTTTGGCCAGTGGACGCAGGATGACACCGATGACTTTGACTGGACCAGGCAGCGAGGAGCAACATCATCTTCTGACACAGGACCGAGCAGAGACCACACACGAGGCACAGTCAGAGGTCACTCGGATGTTTCACTTTTTTTGTTTTTGACTTTTCTTCTTCATTGAATCTTATATTGCTTCTCCACCTCTGCCTACCATCTCTTAGATATTCGTGCAGAACTTTGCAAGCGCAGTAAAACTCGTACTAAACAACATCTCTTTGATGTTGAACTTATCACGAGAATCTCGTTAGTCATATACCTGTTTCCGTTGAATAGTTTAATGTTTTAATGTTACAAAAGGCCATTTATAATTTATTTTGTCAGTTAATGCACCTGGAAATACTTGAAGACTCCAGCGGAAAGACCAGATGAGACATATTTAAGAAAGTGGAGAAAATGGAAATTCAGAGTTTGGAAGTCAGTATTTGATTGTGAATGTAACATTTCTCTTACCTGACAAAGCCCAGGTAAGCAGGGCTATCAGTGGAATTATTTCAGGAGAAGAAAGGCTGATTCTTTTAAAAGCATGTAGGCCTAAGAAGGGAAAAACTTATTTTATCAAAATTGTGACTCATCTAGTTTTTGCCATTGGAGTGCTAAATTACTCAATAACTGGCAGAGTAAGAATGTATGAATGATAGCTATTTGTGCCTGTCAGGCTGCAATGCTGTATGTCCCATAAGGACCTAAACAGTAATTTGTACAGAACAGACCAACTCAAGAAATTACTGTGAAGTTGTTAGAGCTTTAAAGGGGAGTACATGACAATGGAAAGGCACCTACACTTTTAATTAAAACTACGACTAGATGGACAAGCATCTAAACTTTTAATTAAAACTATGACTCAGCGATAACTATATTGACTGATTGTATTTATGCAATTATGTATGCGTGTGATCTTCAGGTTACTATGTGTACATAGAGTCCTCTCTCCCTCAAGTGAGCGGAGATAAAGCACGCCTGGTTAGTCCTGTCCTGACGTCTGGGCTCAATGGAAGGAGAGCTGTATCAGACTGCCAGGTGAGTCTGTCTGGCTTTTGAGTTTTGCTCATGAAGGCTTGTTATATTACTTTTGCTTAGAAGAAAGTAATACAAAATGGGCAATTTAAAAGAATGAACCCTTTGCCCTTTGGCAGGAATATAGGCTTTGTGGGGAAAAGATTTAGGAGAGCAAGAAAAACGTGAAGCCCTTGTTCTTCTATAATAAGTATTTTTGCCAGGCATTGCATTCTTTTATGTTTAAAAGCGTCGAACTAAGATTTATGAGATGATGATCCTAATGCCCAACTGTCTTTAATGATTGCATTAGAATGTTTTACTTCTGTCTGAGTTTTTAATAATCGGGCGATAATTTAAAAATTTCAAAATATATGTTTTCCCAGTTGTTTATTTTGTTCATCTCTGATTCGGAAACTGCTTGAAATTCCATTTAACTGTTACATTTTCATGTTGTCTTCAACAAAACATATGTTTTAAAGCCTTTTAAAAATCTCTGATGCTTCTTTTTACAGATTCGTTTCTTCTACCATATGTATGGAAGATCCGCTGGATCTTTGAACGTGTACACTCGCACCGCCATAAATGGTTCTCTGACTAGCGTCTTTTCCAAGTCTGGCAATATGGGAGACAAGTGGATCCGGACTGACATTCCCCTGACAGAAACCTCTGACTTCCAGGTAATTTGCTTTTCATTTCCCACAGATTCAAATGTGAAGCATCGTGGTGGCATCGGCCAGTCATTAAACTAAGGAAATTGAAGAAACTGACATTTTTATGCCCATTGAGCAATCTTTATTGAGCAATTTTTATTGAATTTTTCGTTTTTATCTCAACACCTTTCATTTCCGTTTAAAAACACATTCCAGCCTGGATTTGAATGAAAAATGTTGATCAAAGGTACAAAAAATGTAAATTTGCCATTTTCAAGGACACAGCAGCTTTTCTGGCTGTTTTTACCTCCGACACCAGGCAACCCCTCCTCCTTCAGTGGCAAATATCTCGACTTCTATTCAAGACGGATTGTATTTTTTTCTTCAAAAGCAAAGCAAATGAATGGGCATTCATAGTATACCAATAACTCCATATGCCTAAAAATTGACGAGCGTCTGATTCCACTGTGTTGTGACACTAGTGGATTGTGTAGATTTTTGGGTCAAGAAGAAAGAAAGGTAAATACTTGAACAAGATTACTCCTTGAATAGTACAGGGCATCTAGTATTAACTTATTAAGTCTCTCTCTCTCTCTCTCTCTCTCTCTGTCTCTCTCTCTCTCTCTCTCTCTCT